TTTCCTTCAAGTTATTACCTTTACAATTGATGGATTTAGCTATATTGGCACCATAGTACTCTCATAATTGTAGAAACGTGAATTTTTCTTACTGTATTGCCTCTTTTACAAAGAAAATATACATATGAGTCCGCAACTTTGAGACATAATAATCTGATCCGAAATTTGAAAATCCGATCTGATCCAAACTTTAAAATTAGATCCAATTCGATATTAATTTGGATTGCATTTTTTAGAATTCGACGTTCGATTCGAAATGTGCTAAATCCGATCCGATCCGTGCACAGCCCTACTCATACATTTGAATCTTCCAAAGGAAAACCTTGATGAGGATTTTTTTGGGTCCATTGTATTTTGCACCCCTCTATTATGTCCTTTTTGAGATTTGCACCGTCCTTTTTTTATATTGAGATTTGCAAATTCATAATCTTTTGTTTTGGCCTCCGGAGGAAGTGCTCCGTAAAACGCAATGCTATTTGTTACAAAATCCACCTCCTTTTTCTTATTTTACAGAAGTGATTATTACCAAGTAAGTTTGTGGACTCTCTCATCTTTTGCCATTCGAAATCATGATCAATTTATTCTTAAGAGTTGAGGAAGTAAGAGAAAATCAATCACACCCAATATTTACATCAAATCGAATTAACTACTAAGCTTAAGAGATAGAAAAGATTAAGAGATAGATTGAAATTGCGTATTGGATGGGAGAGGGGGTGCACGTCTCATTCTACTTGGGATTATTTATTTGGATATTGTATGATGTCTTCGTCTGGAGCTTCTGGCCCATCAAGCTCTTCGGGGCAATCACCTATTGATTTGAATTTCCCTCCTCATTCGGAGGATGAACTAGCCCGGGACCCGAGGAAAGGATTAGACTTGCTACCTATACCTCTATCCGAAGCGGGGCAGCTGATTCTTACTTGCTTAGGAGGAAGAGGGGAAGCTCTTGACTCTAAGCTAGTCGAAGAAGCACGATCGATCGTTCGACTCAAGGGTGATTGTAAAGATGTTTTAGTATATGTTAAATATTTTCCCGCCCTTGTAAACAACAGTAAGAAACAAGATCAAATTTTTCCTTGTTTTAGCGATATCTTTAAGATCACCAAGAAAGATGAAAAGGATGAAGAAGTTGGTAAAAAAGAAAGAGTTTTTTACACGCTTGATCCTTTAATTAAAATTATTTAGAAAAATAGAATCACTTCTAGTTTATTCCATAAATAGCACTTTTTTTTTTTTTTTTTTTTACATTATTAGCTTAATACAAAATTATGTTTCAAAGTAATAAATTAACTGCACAAATCACGGGATCCATTTTTATTCTTATCACCATATTTATCAACCCTCAACCTAATTTCTTATCTCTCTTCTTGCAACCCTAAGCCACATCTCCATTAATCTTTGCACTACTTGACTGCTATGTTGTTACCAACCAGAAATCAGTATGATTTTTCTGGTAGCATATCAAAACACTATTAATGTGGATCAGTAGATCTTGATCGTTATTTATTCTTCGTCAATACATGTTTTGATCAAATGAAAAGCTATTTTAGATATTAGTGGCTATTGAAGTTGATTTTGTATGTTTCTCGTTTTTTTAGTTTTATTCTTCATTTTGCTTCCTTCTTGTTTCTTCTCCTTAAAAAAATAATGTGCTGAATGGTGTTTTTGAAGATTGATTGGTACGGTGGTGAAGGCTGTGTCTGATGGAGTTGTAGTGTTACTGGTTTATCCTTGAGGTAGTATATATGAGGTATATATATATACAATAATTCAATAAATATACAGTTAATTGACTTATTAAATTTAATATATTTTGAATATACATCGTATATGTTCATGCATTAAGCAACTATATGTTAAAAGAATTATATACTACGTATAGACAGATAATACAAATACCACACTAATAATATTATATTATAAGCTTCATAACGTATACCATTATAATTAGGGGTGTACATGGACCGGGTTGGTTCGATTTTTATCAAAATCAAACCAAACCAACTATATCGGTTCGGATTGGTTCGATTTTGTCGAGTTTTTCGGATTTTCGGGGTTTTTTGTTACTTACATAATATTCAATCTTACTTTGTTAAATATTTGATAAGTAAATATCTATTTAGTAAAAATATAAAAAATTGACAAACATATTATCGATTAAAATATTCTTATGGGATTAGTAGCACATAATAGTTATTTTTTTTAGTCGCCTGACAAAAATTTTTCGTTGATATACACTTTCAGGTTAACCGAATTTAGTAATTAAACATAAAAATCAATATGATACCTAAATATTAATAACCACTTCACATTCGAAAAAGATATAAGAATTTAATGGATCTTAACGTATGATATGAATATGGAAGAACAAAGAGATAGACGTATTTCAGTAACATTTGATAAGAAAGTGATCATACAACCCATTATTTAAGGTCAATAAATATGGAACACTTCATATTCTATTAAAATTTATATCCCGCAAGAGAATCCCAAATATTTCTAGACATTTTTTAAAGAAAATTCTATATAAAATCTTAAAAGTATATATAAAAATTATATATTTATATGTCGGGTTTGGTTCGGTTTTTTTTTTTAACTCTAATACCAAACCAAATCAAACCAACCAAACCAAGTCGGTTTTTGTAATCAGTTTGATTTGACTTTTCGATTTGGTGAGGTTTTTGGTTCGGTTTGTAAACCCCTGTTTCAGCACTTGCTTAAAAAATTGTTTCAGTCACTTANAATAATTATTATTTAAATTTCACGTGGCTACTTCTTATTGGCCAAAATTAAAACATCTAACCTATTAGAAAGACCCACCTGTATCTATCAGTTTTTAGTACTAGCCCGCTTCAAATACTAACCCAACCCGAACAAAAAGTTCAACTAAAAAAAGAGGCCCCACTTCTATGAAACTCCATGGAACAAAAGCTCCATGGAAGTCGCAGTGAACATATAGACTCAAATTTACTACGTGAATTTCTTTCTCTTGTTATGGCATCCAGTTCAATTTATATGATAGACAAAAATTGCATTATATTTAAGATGAGTTTAATTTAAACATTTTCACATAACGAAAAGATCTTAAAGTGATTGTTTGGAAGATATCTTATACTGGACTACCCCTAGTTTTCCATCTCACATTATTGTAAAGAAAATTATTGGCTCATTCGCCAGGCTTTTCTTGTTTGTTTAATTTGGTCATGAACCTTTATTCGATGATAATGCTATACATGAGATTAACAAGAAAATGAACACATGTAAATCCAAAAAATGGGTAGATATGAGCGGGTCTTTCTAATTAATAGGTTAGATGTTTTAATTTCGACAAATAAGAAGTTGCCACATGGAATTTAAATAATTATTTTTTAAATTCAACATTGACCTAACGGTCAAAGGACATAAGTGAACTAAAAAAGTGAATGGAAGGGTATTTTTAGACTAATAGGTGGATGGAGGGTATTTTAAGACCTTTATCAATAGTTCAGGGACATTTTTGACCCTTCTCCGTATAATCTATATATGCCATTTAGATATACTAGTAATATATTAATATATACCATCATTATTCATCTTGTTTTTAATAATTATACAATACAATGAATAATTAAATTTAATATACTATGTATAAGTATAAAAATAGATTTAAAATTAGTTACTTGAAGGAGAAACGATATAAGGAATAAATTGAAGACAAAAGCTGGATTGAATAGGCGCAAAAGGAAAGGATTTAGGGTAAGAAAAATTTATTACGGTAAAAGTATTTAACAAAAAGGAGAAAGTGAGGGTTTTAAGGTACACAACATTAAATGGGGGAGAGAAAATTGTGGGAAGACCTTAAAAGATATGTGGATTACCATTAATTAGTAATCCCTATATTTTAATGGGATTGGTCCAGCATTATAGGTTTATGCTTTCTATAGTTAATAAGCTGCCAATTTGTTAATCGCAAGAATATGACTTTCACTAGAATTGATTCTTAGTACATTGCATTTATCATTAATATTTAATTATATAAAAGGTATAATAATGGATAACTTTATTAAATATTATGGGATAATTCTAGCATTTTAATTATACAAATAATAGTTGTATCATGTATATTGCATCCGTGTTTATGAATTTATTTAGAAAAAAATTCTGGTATATTTACATAATGATTCTAGTATTTATGTATTAGCAATATTAATTATATAAATGGCACAAGTACACTCAATTTTTTTAAGCACAAAGGGCAACAATTGAGGGGCGGGAGAAATAAGAAACAAAGTAGTAAGAAAAGAAGCTGGATGCTTAATTAGCAAAAAAAAATGAAGAGAACGGGTGTGGGGCTTGTGTTTGTGGGGGGGGGGGGGGGGGGGTTTTGCAACAAAGTATACGTTAATAAGGTTCAAAATAGATTCCTCAATGAGTGAGTCTTCATTTATTTTTAAAACCTACAGTTAAATGCTATTAGTGTAAACAAAATCTTCCATTTATGTAATAAGTAAACAGCACTAATATTTTCTTAAAATATTTTGAAGAAGTGCTCAGCCATTTCAAAAATAGCCAGATTTACCACTGGTCGTTGAAAAATAGCCAAGTTTCAAAAGTCATCGAAATTTAGCCACTTTAAATCTGAGCGAAAACACTGTTCAAAATCCGGAAAAATACGCCCGCAAATTTTACGGGAGTTCAAGCATATATTTTGCGGGAGTTCCAGCATAGTTATGCTGGAACTCCCGCAAATTTTACGGGAGTTCCAGCAAGTATCATTGTCCAATATAATATACTAGAGTTTGGAGCACTGGTGCTCCAGTCTCCCGCAAATTTTACAGGAGTTAGCAAAGTATACCGGTCCAGCATAATATGCTGGAGTTCGTACACAAATGCACCAGAATTCCCGTATATTATACTGGACCGGTCCCTGTTGCAGCAAAATAGTGGTTATTTTTCATTGACTTGATAAACGCTGGCTATTTTTCATTGACCAATGTGAAAACTGGCTATACCATGATATTTTAACTATATTTCTCTTTTAAAAATGCATCAGCCAATTTATATCCATGTTGAACTTGGGCTGGAGTACTAAGGTGTAGCCCATCTTTCTCCAAAGGTAGGCCCAAAGCATCTACAGTTATTACATTGGGAAGGTTAATTCCAAGCTGGGCTTCTCTCACCCCCTCAATAAAGGGTCCTTGTCCAGAAGCTAGGGCTACCTATTCAATTATATAAAAAAATCAATAAAAATTAAAATAGACATAAATAGGCAAATTTGGTAAAAAAAAAGAAAGAAAATTTATGTAATATTAAATTTTGGTAGTAAATTAACAATGAAATGGATAATAATTTCACATGAATATTTCACTCTTCAGTCTTCACGATTACTAGTTCTTGAATATACATTGAATGCTAAATGTAATCACTTAAAAGAAAGAAAATATCACCGTAATTCTAAGGCTACTGTTAAATGATAGTAACTCTCATGAATTCTCTCTTCCTTAAAAAAAAAAGGAATTTAAAATTTATGTGAATTACACGATTATGTGGAAGAAAAACTATTAAAACTGGCCAAAATTTCGTTTAGACTGATTCTGGTAAATGTCTTCGCAAGAAATTATTTTCTGGTTTACAATAAGGGAAAAAAGAATTTATTTCACAACTAACGCTTCTTTATGATTTTCTCTAGCCTAATTTTTTTTTTAAACATAAGCTCCACTTTTACTACTCTCAACTATCACCTAATACCACAATCATCATAATTATAGCCATCAACCTTTGTAAGTTGAAAGATAACGACATAACGTGGATATTAATTGTCTTTCATATAATATTTTTCACTAATGTACAACTTACATAACAGATTCTACGTTGTAACTTGTACGTGGTCCATTTGCAGATGTTAACATATCAATTTGAGGAAACAAAGAGAACAACATTCAAAAGCACTAATCAAATTCCACAAATTAGTCAAAATATATATTAATATTCCTGCTAAAGTTGTCTTGCTCATTGTGATACAATGATTTTGGTAGTTAAAATTACTATTTTTCAATTTCCATTATGGTAGATCATTAATTTTTGTAAGATTCAAAGCATCATGTAAAAGCAAAAAAGGGTTATTATATTAAATATTAATTATTAAGTGAACAAGGAAGATAAATTTATACCTGAAAAATAGGAAGCAATGGAGAGTTCAAATCACTACGCAAGTCCTGAAAAAGTTTCTCCAATTTGCTCTTGTAAGACTTTGCTTCTTCCCAAGTTAATGTATCTCTTTCCCCTTGATACCAAAGAATTGCTCTAATTGTTCCACCACCATGCACCGCTATTCTCGCTCTTTTAACCATCTCATTGTATAACCTTCACAAAGAAGTCGGTGATTCTGAATGAGTATAATCTTATTAGATGTATTTCATTATATATAACGTAATTTTTCTTTCTTCTATAACTATACGTGATTCAAGTTGAAATCAATGGGTTCAAATGAACGAGCTACATCTGATGTATCCAATATATATTAAAGCGAGATAAGATGTGTACCTGGAACCTGTGACCATTTATCGATGCTCGTCCCTCCAGCCGCGCAAGGGACTAAACCTATGATCCCAAATTCGGGGTCTTTCTCCAAGATATCATTGGCAAACACCATAGTTGGCCCTATCCCACAAGTCTTGTTCAAGTCAATGTCATAATGTAGAGGCTCTTGGGCTACTTCCCATATTGAGTTTCCGTTTAGCCGGAGGATGGCCGGATTCCGACGACATTCCGGTGGTACATAGCTATCCCAAACTTTGTCAACGACCCCTCCTCGTCCAGCCATGTTACTTTGTCCGGTTAGTATGAATATTTGTTTTTTGTGCTTAGTTTCGAATATTGTACAATTCATAACCCATAGAATATATACAAAAAGCACGAAAAGTATTAAGTGAAAAATTAATCTCTCATATCTAACTTTTGATTGCATCATTTAATATTTATGATAAATTCAAGCACCAAAGAAAAAAAAATTAATCAAGAAAAGAAAATTTAATACAATGGATTTAATTTTATTTCCCTTGGAAACTGATTAAAAAAGGGGATGAGAAAGGGGGAGGCTTTTGATTAGTATATACTTGTTGGATTTAACAACCTTGTTTTATTGCAGGAGGCCAAAGAAGTACATAATTTTAATTCAATCTCCAAAAAGGAATTGGAAAGCAGTCATAAAGCGTTGTGATTTCTATTGCCAATTGACTTTCCAATTCTAGAAACAAACACTAAAAGGAAAGAGATTAAAAAAAATCATCATAGTGAATTCTTGTCCTAAAAATACATTCCTGTAGTTGATTCTTGTTACCTAGTAGGAAAAATATTTTAATAAATAAAATTAATATGATTTATAAGAGAATCTAGTTATGCTCTTTGAAAAATCAAATTCAAATGAGAACTAATTAATATGTGTGAAACAGATAAGAAAGACGGTATACTACCATGTTTGATAATACTCCTATTTTGCATCTGTTTTAATTTACCTTTCGCATTACGTAGTTTTATATTTTACTAGTAATTTTGTTTCTCTCTAGTATAGAAAATATTTAAATGTTTCAGGTATTTCCATCTTCATAGTATAGTATTTTGTTAACATCTAACATATGATAGAACCGTAGAGATATATAGGAAATTAATGCCATTGAAACCAAAGAAAATGAATTACAGTCAGACAACATCCTTATATAACATTCATTCACTATAAAAATTAAGTTTTTCTCGGTATCAATTCTTATATTATATTATATTATAGAATATGTCATATAAAACAACACTTCACTATAACAACTAAAAAATATCAAAACAGGCAGTTATTGAGAGGTTTTGACTGTATTTGTAATTAGTTAACAAGCATTCATTAAATGAAAAAGGTATTGGGTGCATAATGCATTGGTCGAGAACTCAGGCAAAAAGGTGCAAGAAGCATTGTGTAAAAAAGTTGATTTACCATTTGGAACAATCTTATTATCATTGATAATGTATATATTTGTTGTCCAGTAAGTTTGTTTTGATGATTGACAAAGGAACTCAAGCATGAACCAGGTTTATGGACAGTGTACACAGGTGACAGACAGAATCAAGCAAAAGGCATATACGTGAAAGGGATAAGTATAAGTGGTTATATATGATATTCCCTGAACAAAATGGTTGTATATTTGATAAGGAGCATGACTCCTTACTTGAAGAGAACTCTATCCAAGATAAGGAAAGAGTTAGAAGTTGAAGATAACTAGAACTCTTCCACCAAGGAAGAGTAAAGCATTAGAACTCTAGTTAATCTTTATTAACTAACTCTATATATATCAGTATTGTTTTCTTTTACAGATGCACACATACTGAAGTTAACCACGAATTGAGAGCAAAATAGCAAGGCATTTCGTGAGCAATTCTTGTGAGTTTTAAGAGTGCGATCCTGAAGCTACACGAACCAGATTGAAGAACAAATTGCATCAAGAGTTTTATGTGTCTTTTTTTCTTTCTAGTTCAAAGTGTAGTAGGCATTTTGAGTTATACCTTTCAGCTTTCTTAGAAGCAAATTGTACTAGGTACCTGAGTTGTATGATTCAAGTTAGAGTTAACTTGAAGTAGCCCCAACACCCTGTGGCGTGTTGCTATAAGGGTTAGAGTTAATCCTTAGGTTTGCAAGAGGTTGTAAACTCGAGTTGTATTGTTCAAGTTAGAGTCAACTTGAAGCAGTCACAACAACCTGTGGCTGGTTGCTATAAGGGTAAGAGTTAATCCTTAGGTTTGCAAGAGTTTGTAAATTTTGTTGCTGGCTCAGAGTTGTAGTGAAGTGTTTGGAGAAAATCCTACTAGGTAGTAGGTCATGGTTTTTTTACCTTTTGAGCCGGGTGTATTCCATGTAAAAATACTTGAGTTCTTTACTTTTTGCATTTATTATTCCGCAACTGCAGTGTAAGGAACACGTAGAAGAACCAAGTCCTTCTATAATCTGTGCACGTAAAAAATTGGACACCACACAAAGCACCCCCCCTCTTGTATGGTATTGAAGTATAAAACAACAATTGGTATCAGAGCGGGTTATCCTTGAAGAGGCTAACACCTTAGGAGAAGATCAAGATGAGTGCACCACCTGAAAATTGGGAAGGGCAATCAAACTGCTAGGCCACCACCCTTTAATGGCCAATACTACTCTTGGTGGAAGAACATAACGAGAGATCCCATTCAAGGAGAGGACTATGTGCTATGGGATATTATCGCTGATGGTCCACTGGTTACCTTGAAGAAAAATGCTTAAGGAGTAGATGTGCTGATAGATCTTAAATACTCTTGCCTTATATTTTGATGATCTAACAGACTTTCTTGGAAGAACCAATTAGGGAACCTGATCTACTCAGGATTGCTGCAAACTTCAATGGACTCCAGTAAAAGTTGAATTGCTACACATACAGGAGCTAGGAACCAAACAAGGACCTGATGCTCCTGCGGTTCCTATATAGCAGCACAAAGTCATTTGGACACAGCTGAAATTGAAGTGACTGCTGGCACTATTTCTGCCACACTGCAATATGCTGACAGCCCACTCATTCTCTAACCAAAGTACTCACATCATTTCAAGTGATGTGATCGAGTTGTACCAAAGGGGCTTTTATACAAAACATCACAAATGGGTTTCAGTTTCTTTTTACTCAAGCATCAAGCAAAAATAGAAAAGATTATTCTCTCAAGCTTGAAGAACAAGGTTGAACGCCACCACGGACCAGTTCCTAAACGATTGATTATTGTTGTCCTAGTTGAGTTGTAACCTTGTTATTGCACTTACAATATCTCCTAAATCTCTTACTTAGAAGTTTACTGATTAGGAATCCTCTTGTAAATCCTCAGACTCATTGAGTTTAGGTTGTGGCTAGATTTAGTCATAAAGAAAAGTCTTTGTAATCGTAGGGTTACAAAGTGGCTTGTAGTGACAACACCACAAGTTAGAAAAATCCTTTGTAACTAGGATAGTCACAAAGTGGCTTGTGGTAAAGGTACCACAAGTTAGTTTAAAGTCTTTAAAATAGGGAGTATTGTAAAGTGGCTTGTAATAGGTAAGATTACAAGTTAGTGAATTAAAAGCCTACAAGGTAGGTCGTGGTTTTTTTTATCTCCTTGTGCTGGATTTTTCCACGTAGAAAATCCTCTGCCTCATTTACTTACTGCTTTATTAAGTACCCTCAGCAGAAACTTGTAGAGGACCAAGTACTCTATGATTTGGTGGACCCATACAAACTAACATGTTTCAACACCATCATATCACAATTGTTTTAGCTCATCAATCAAAGGTTGCAAAAATACATTAATCAAACTTTTCGGGTTACATGGACCGGGGATAATACAATTTAAGAATATATATGGACTAGTCATACACAACTCGGGTGGTAGATTATAAGGTGTAAGAAAGACAGGCCAACATGAATATGGTGTCGCAGATATAGGAAAAGGCGTGAAGCCATCCGCACACAGACCTAACCGAATGTTCCTTGGTTCACTAGCAAAATCTGGATATGTCCTATCAAAGTGCTTCCAAGCTTCTCCATCTGAAGGATGACACATAACACCATGTGGTCTTTTATTTTCAAAGTGTCATCTCATATGAGGAGCAGAACTCATCGACGTATATAACCTCTTTAACCTAGGTATAAGAGGTAAATAATGCATCGCCTTGATAGCGACCATATTCCCGCCGGAAAGACTCTTTGAACGATGCTTTTTGCAAAATTTACAACTGTCTAAAGTTGCATTATCTTTATAATATAACATGCAACCATCTTCACAGTAATCAATTCTCATTGACGAAAGTTCTAACTTAGAAACCAATCTCTTTGCCTTATAGAAATCACCAGGTAATTTGATATTAAGGTCAACTAGTTCACTCATAAGGTTAATGAAAGAGTCCATGGCTGCTTGAGAAATATTCTAATCAGATTTGATACTTAGTAATCTAACTGCAACAGACAGCTCAGAGTGCGGACTTCCTTTACGTAGTGGACAACTAGCTTCCTCTAACTGTTCATAAAAACGTTTTGCGTCATCATTAGGAGTTTGTTCAACATTTTCATTAGGCTCGCCCCCGAAGTGCATCCCAAAAGCATCCGTAACCACATCATGAATTCTAGAATCACGATTTGTATTCTCCACCGACCTACTACTTTCACCAACAACCATGTTATGAAATATCCCACGGCTACCATCGATCTCTCCATGATTATTCCACAAAAAGTAATTCTCTATAAACCCCTTCCTATAAAGATGAAGCTTAACTTCCTCCGATTTTTCAAACTTCATACAGTCGCACCTAACAAGGACACCTAATTACTCCTTCACTTTGGTATGGTGGAAGTGACATTGCATGTCTAATAAAGTTATCAAACCCTTCTACAAAATCCTCCCGCAATCCCCGCCGATTGGAATAATTTCTATTGTACATCCAATTACGATATTCCATCTATACAAATAAAACAAGAACAAATTAATTTAGTAATTCATATCATAATCTTTTTTTAGTTAATTCATATCCTAAAAGTTCCAATTCATATCCTAAAAGTTCAATTCATATCCTAAAATTTCAAATTATAAACTAAAAGTTCAATCTATAAACTAAATGTCCAATTTATATCCTAAAAGTTCAATTCATATCCTAAAAGTTCAATTCATATCCTAAAATTTTAATTTATATACTAAAAGTTCAATTCATAAACTAAAAGTTCAATTCATATCCAAAAAGTTTAATTTATAAACTAAAAAATTAATTCATATCCAAAAGGTCCAATTCATAAACTAAAAGTTCAACTATAAATCCTAAAAGTTCAATTCATATCCTAAAGTTTCAATTTATAAACTAAAAGTTCAATTTAT